ACCACAAGAACGGTAGTTTTATTCCATGCTCAGACGGGAGGAAACGCAGGTTCTACGCCCTCTGCCTTTCCCCCCTCCCGCCAATGTCCCGTCCGGCTCATTTTTTGGGGAGAGGAAAAGAAGCTAGACTGGGGTCCGCTCGCATGCAAACAACGAGCAGAGCGCGTTCTGGGTGATCTCATCTGGGAGTTTTCGCTGTATTCGCGCGTAACCAGATGTATATACGTGATCAGAAAGCCCTCTCGGCAGTAGTAGGATTTCCTCGCCAGAAGAGAAGTACAGCAGTACACAGGTGGACGTCCACCCCCCTTCCCCACAATGTCGGATGCCCTCGCCCCCTTGTTGAGGCCTTGACAAGGTCGAATACCTTGGATAAGACAACCAAGGCCTCGAAAGGGGAGAAATCGAGGTATTTTTTAGGCCTTGGTTGTCTTCTCCAAGGTGTTCGACCTTGTCAAGGCCTCCACAAGGCGGCGAGGGCATCCGACATTTTGGGGAAGGGGGGTCGACCTCCACCTGTGTAGTGCATATACGCAGGGGCGTAGGGGGGGGAACGATATTTTTTGTCCACTCGGTGCCGGTCGTGGACTGTTCTTTTTCGGGCGGAACTTGAGTAACTCCTGTACGCAGAAACGTTCTCTACAGGAGCCCGCGAGCGTGATAATGAAGTACACTTGCCGGCACCCAACCACGATATCGGTTCGACGAGACCCCGATCGCGTGACCGCAGGCGTCACCTTGTACGGCTGCTGACGGATCGCCGCATGCCGGGTTGGCTCATGGCGTGCGGTAGCCCAGTCCACCCTCCGTTGCCACCGTCACGGTTACCTCTCCTGTCGTCGCCGCTCCTGTCGTCGTCGCTCCTGTCGTCGTCGCTCCCATCAACGGTGGTGCCGCTGCTCCGTTCGTGAGCGCGTGCGTCCCGGCCGGCCACCACCGCGGAGAACACACATGACTGCCAGTGGTCTCCGTCGCGCCGCCGGTGTTGCTGCCGGTGCTGCTGCCGATGCTGCCGCTCCCGCCACGAGAGCCTGCGGCCTGGCCGTCTCCCCCGCCGCCGCCGCGTGGAAAACCCTGCCGCCGGGGGTCACCATTCTCGCCGTTGGCGCTGCTAACTATTGTACCGCTCTATCTAGCCGCGAGTGCCTGCATCCCGGCCGTCCCGACGGCCGGCGTCGCGGGGAACACATGACTGCCGGTCGTCCCTCCTCTCGCCACCGGTGTTGCTGCCGATGCTGCCGCTCCCGTCACGAGTGCCTGCGGCCCGGCCGTCTCCCCCCGGCATCGCGGGGAAAACCCTGCCCCCGGGGGGCACCACTCTCGTCGCTGATGCTGCGACGCTGCCGCTCCCTCCGCGAGTCCCTGCGCCCCGGCCGTCTCCCCCTGTCGGCCCACACTTGAGTCGTTTTTTGTGCGATTCTTTCGCGTTTGCTTCTTGCTTTTGTCGTATCCTGTCATCGTAGGTTTTCTTCGGATTTAGTTCTTTGGCCTTGTCATCGTAGGCACCATAGTTTCAAGGTCTTCGTCGCGGTTTGGACGTCTTCATTCTTCAGTCACATAGTTTTAGCTGTGTCTCGGGCTCGAGAGTGTTACCGTAGTCAGCAGCTGCGGCTTCCGGAAAAAAACAAGGAAGGAAAGCTTCAGACAGGCAACGCCGACGAAGCTCGTCGAGGAGTTGCACATCAATGTGACAACAACAAGCTACACAAGGCGTTGAGAAGCAGAGTTGCCTGCTCTTGATGGCTCAGGTGTTGTCCAGAGCCGAACACATTTTTTTTGCATATTCTGCCGGTACCCAACTCAAAAGAGAGCGTCATGATGGGGGCGTTGATTCTCTTTGGTTTATGTGGCTTCTTTGTCCGGATACCTCCTGCGCAGCGGCGGCCGCTATCTATCTAATGATCGCGATCGGAAGCGCAGTTAGTTCCGGAAGCGTTTTTCGCTTGCTTGTTCTGTTCTTTGTGGAACAGTCTGCCCGGAACATCTTCCTGTTCGGGCTTACTGCTGCGAACGAGTCCCTGTTTGGTTCAAATATCACTTTGCGTGTGGATAGAACCCCTTTCGACGAAAGTGCTGTCGACCGCGATTGTCCTTGGAACTTGACGTGGTTTTCGCGGAGGTAGTGGCGGACATATTTCTCCCGTTGTTTACAACACTACACCTTAATCTTGGGTTCACCCTGAGAACTTGTGGAGGTCGGTCTTCGCTATCGCGCGGTTGGTGATTACCAGATTCGTCAAATCCGCCGGTGTCTCTTACCGTCCATCAACGAAACGTACTTGGGCCTTCCACTCGCCAACCTGTCTCGGTTGTTTGTCAATGGGGCAACGGGCGTCATGGCCTTTGGTGGCTCTTGGGCTGACCGCGGAGAACACTCTAGGTCCCCCGGGCGTTGCATATCGTCCGCAGTACCAGGCAGGGACGATTACTTTTCTAAGCTTTTTGCGTGGGTTGGCATGCTTCAATAGCGCCATGTCAGACAGTGAGAGGGAGATGAAGCGGCCATCAACCGACGGGGAAGCTCAACGCAATCCAGGCGGTAATAGCCTATGTAAACGATGCCGAATCTTGACGCACCCCAGACGTGCAAAGTCCATGCCGTCCTAAGTCGGCATCACCGGACCGAGAAGCTCAAGGCGCGTCGGTCGATCAGTGCCTATACGGCGCTGAAACAGCGCCACCCGACCAGGAAGCCGAAGGCACCCCAGACGGTCAAAACACATGCCGTGCTAAATCCGAATCACCGGAACGGGAAACTCAAGATGTATCAGACGATCAAACCTATGCGGCGCTGAATTGGCATCACCCGACCAAGAAGCGCGAATCTACGTGTCTATCGGTGGAATAGGGGAAAGGGTTTTACCTACCTGGTGTGAATTTTATCTCGCGGGGGTTCCCTGATGACTCATGTTACAGTCGGAATCGGTTTCGTACTTCTCCTTCTCTTGTGATTGCCACACGTGCACTGTTAGCTGCTGACATGCGTCTGTTTCATGTCATCGATTCAACGGCGGTGCCACCACGAGTTAGGGGAACTCAGTAGGTCGTGTCGATGCCCATGATGCGCAGCGAACAGCGCGCATATGGTGACTTGGTTGTTAGTGGAGTTTCGGTAAATGAAAATGGCCTGGAAATCACCTTCACCAGAGGGCACAGGTACGTGCGCGAGAGGGCGCAAGCGATGAGTAGGGTTTCAGGGGGCGGGGTTGGCACGATCACAAAGTGTCCAAGTGTGATGTGTATGGGGGACAGTTTTTCAGGCATCGCTAGAGAGTACTGTACAGTATTGTCGTGCTAGAAAACAGAAAATACGTCACCAATTGGGTAGAAGTGTCAACGACGAACGTGTTGTCGCGGGAATGACGCGTTGATGGCATCGGGGATGACGAAGTCTGTAGATCTTGGAAAGAGAATTATGACATTGGGGGGGACGGTAGACGTTATTTTCATGTTGTTGCGCTTGCCTGAAAAATGTATATCTGCAGTAGGCTAATGTGGGTGTTTCGGGCGGGGCAGCACGGTGTACAAACCCACGAGCGTGCGGTCCAGGGAAGTACACCTTAACTCGTCGTTCACACACAAGCAAAGACAAGTGCACCAGGAGAAGGGAAAAACCTACTCTAGCCATTATTTCCCTTGTTCGTCTAGCGGACTCAACAACGCAAACGTGCAAGGCATTGCTGTGTCACTCACAGTTCATGTGTGGCTGGTGCACGTACATGGTTCCCTAGAACGCGGCACGTCCCGTTGTCTGGAGGTCGTGGTCGGGCGCGGATTTCTTTTGCCCGAAGAAACGTATGGATATGGTCTCCAGAAAATTCCCCATTTTTCGGTTCGCAAGTCAAATCAGTTCTCCCACGATCTCGCGTGTTGTTAGTCAGCTTACTTATGGGCAGCCCCTGTTGAATGCTTACCAAACAGCGGCCTTGTGGCCGAGGTAGATGGAGATGGTTGCGTTTCAGCGTCTGCTGGAGGGTGTCGAGTTGATTCCTTTCGAACCCAACATGAAGGTAAGGTTCTCCTCCTTTGTGTACTTCTATTGGGGAGCAAGATTCACAGCACCTGGGACGGAGCCCTGAAGTCTCTAACAACAATAGCCCATACTCGAGAGGTCACAGGCCCTGCAGAACATATCTGGATGGAGTGCACCGAACTCAGTGGACATACTACCCCAGAGTCGGCCGCGAAGTGGTCGGCGTGGTGAAGTTAGAAGCAGCAAACACGCATTATAGATGGAGTACAGGGCTGCGAGAAGTATGCGAACGCAACATGCCCCCTCAGAGGCACCCAAAATAACAGCCACCTGGTTGCTTGGCAAACCGAAGACTCCCAAGTTCGAGAACTACTGTGTGCATGTTTTGGTTCGCAGGGCGCGCCTTACGGGGACACGCTCCACCTTCGAGATCTACATACCCTAGCGTGTGGCAGCAGAGGCTGGCGCCAACCGGTGCTAGTCGAGTGTGATAGCTCAGAGACCTTGATGCTGTAGAAAGAAGAACAACAGTAGATACCTTGCAGAGGAAGATTATGTGATGCTAAAACATGGCGCTTCCGGCCAACTCAAGATGCAGACAAATACTAAGACTGTACACAAACGATACATACAGTACTGTAGTCCAGGCACGACGATGGTGTTAGTATCCACGGGATGGCAAGGATAGCAAACACCCAGACAAATCCTCGAATCCTATAGAGACATGAGACCACAAAATTAGAGAGGCCGGTCACAGAACGCGGAGGCTGCATACGTAGTGTTTCTTCCGGTCACGTTACATACCACCCGACACATATCATACCGAACACAATCCATGCGCCGTTACGGAATTGACTATGAACGCGTGGACAATGCCTAAGCATGTTCATTATAACATCAGCAAGTAAAGCGGCAGCGGGTTTTCGGACTCCTCCACGATAAGCGATTCGATTCAGATCGCGTCGCCAAACACCTACTGGCAGCAAGCGCGATAACGTACTGTATTGCACGTGCCTATGGGGCTTGCTTAGCGCATGCCATCCAAGTCGTCCGAGTTGTCGTCGTCACCCAGCATATCTGTCCATGCAAATGTGGTCTGCTCAACAAGACCAGAGCGACATAGCAAAAGGCGGTGGGGAGCGTTTCGCACAACAGCCGGCGGGCGCAGGTCGTGTCTAGCGTGAGTTCCGAAGGATGCTATTCGATGCGTTGGTCGGATGCATCGACCAGAGCACTGAGTCAGCACCGACAGCACCGCCTTTGTCGCTATAGAGATGCAGCAGCTGGACACCGTACACAACTTGGCACCAGCTCATGTGTGGCATCGCGCAACCGCGTTGAGAATACCAACGCCATCACATCAGTCAGAGCCCGCAAAGCACCTCCACCCTTCACCTGTGTCGGCCGGCTATCCACTGGCACCGCCGCCGCCGCTCCTCCTGAGCCGTGGTTGCCATCGCCGCCCCCACCCCCTTCGGTATTAGCGGTCGATGCAGCAGGTTTCTTCCGAACCCTTCTCCGCGATTTCGCGGGTGTCCGATCTTCGTCTATACCTTCGTCGTCATCACTTCCGAGGTACATGGCCGCTTCACGGGCACCGCCACGTCTACCACCGCTGCCGCTGTCGCCGCCAGCGGCGTCTGAGTCGCGGAATCCCTGCTCGTTCGGAGACGGTGGCACCGAGCCTTGCGGCCGGGAGCGTTTTCGATTGGCCCCGCTGCCGTCACGACCGTCGTTTCCCTCAAGCTTGATTGTGGCTTCCACGACTTTCGAGAGGTCCTCACCCGATACTTCCTGGACGCCCACGTACGCAGGCACACGCAGGGGCGGGTGGTTGGTTGGGGTTTTCTACATCGACCACAACGGGTGTTAAGCATGGTCTTAGTTGCATTTACTCTAACTTGGCTCCCACAGCGATTTCATTCTTGTGTTGAAGATATATTCTACACAGTACTCACATGAAGTTTATACAACGCGAAAATACCACAAAATTCTCATCCCCGACAAGCATGCCAGCAGACAGTCTTCTGTAGGCAATCAAACAAGAGCACCCCAAGCTTACAGTACGCTCCTCTATATGCCCCCCTTTCTCTCCTATGGAGAGTTCTGTCCCAACCTCTGCCAACTTGTCCTACTCTCCCAGTGCCCAACCTACTTTCGGGGAAAACCATGAGTTCGTTTTGTTGGACATACTTCCAGGATTTATCACAACGCACACAGAGTCCTTACCACAAACTTCATGTTCACCTTGTGCACAAACATGAACGAGTATGACAAGCCCTCGGGCCAACCATTGTGAACTGCTTCACTCCTGTCAACCCGGACCTTACCGTGATTGTCTACCAAAAAGCTGTCTCCGCCCGAAACATAGCGAACAGGTTCAGGAACGTTTGGGTAGTAATGAGTTCGCTCGTGGTGGGGACACATGGTATCCCGATATCTCGATGGTATATGGATTATTTTCGCTCTCAATTTCCCTTCACCCCCGAGCTTTGGTACGCATACCGAGGTCAGCAGCAAACGCAACCCCGTCTTCGATTCACGCCAATCCTAACCCCCCAAGCGTGTCCACGTCCGAGACACAGTAGTCTGTGAGGGTTGGAAAAATAGCGCGATGACAACTACGGGAGAGCAGAGTTATTGTTGCGTCGTGGCGTGGGTCCGACAGGTTGAGTCAGCGGTGAATCATGGAAAATTCCAAACACATTATTCATACGCTCAGGTTAAGAAACCAATGGTACGTGCCGCCACGTCGCCGAAAACAAAGAAATTTGGAACAAACAAAAAAAAAGAAACAAATCGCGTGTCTTCAAAAGTCAAAACTACACAAACACTGAACCCACATCCTCATCGCACCTGTGTTCCAATCGGCACCGCGAGAGCACCTCCCCCGGCCCCCATAAACCCAGGCTCCGTCTTGACCTTCACCTTGACCCCACCTCGACCAGCACCGCCGCCCTTTCCGCTAGGAGACCCACCCACCCCCTTTTGTCCCCCTCCTGTTGTCACCCTTCCTGCATCCGTGTCGTTCGGTTTCGAGGAAACGGCCGCAGGAGTAACGCCGGCACCTCGAGGTTGAGCGTTTGCCGCCTTGCCTTTTCCCTTGACCTTGCCCTTACCGCTGGGATTCCACATGTGGCGATCGCGACGAATGAGCATGGGCAAGTGGACAGCCAAAAGGGGCAAGGCAGCGTTCCTTCGTGAGCGTATGCAACTAGTGGTCCCACAACGGGGGTAAATCACATGTCTTGTGTGTGAGGGTGGAGGTGTTGGACGGTTGCCTGGCACTATAAACACGGCGGTGCTTCTCACGAACAAATCCTCCCGCGCACCTCCACCGCAGTGACTGCACAGACCACCGGGTGATACGCCATGAGGAGATGCTCGCTCAAAAGGACAACCACCAGCCGTATCAAATGGACGATGAAAAATAAATCGAGCCACAACTTGGACTTCTCCGACCGTTTGCAAAAACATGTCCTGTAGTGAGCATGCTTGTAAATAGATGCTGGTTTATATATAGTGAACAGGACAGGCGCGCCGCAGGAACGAAACATAAACGCCAAGGCATTGAGGGCAGCGAACACCGAGCGTGTACAAAGCTCAGGAGACTCATCATGTCTCCGAGGAACGAGCTTCGATTCACCACGACAGCATGAAGCTCGGGTCCCGGCGAGTATGTGCTGTGACCGTGCTTGCCGCTTCCAAGGAACTGCCACGCCTAAAAACATTGTGTGCTCAACGCATTTCGCTTTGCGGAGGAGATCATCCGCATGAAATCGATGCAATACCTGGTACCATTACCAAACAGCGGCCTTGTGGCCGAGGTAGATGGAGATGGTTGCGTTTCAGCGTCTGCTGGAGGGTGTCGAGTTGATTCCTTTCGAACCCAACACCCTTTCAGCTGAAGGTAAGGTTCTCCTCCTTTATGTACTTCTATTGGGGAGCAAGATTCACAGCACCTGGGACGGAGCCCTGGAGTCTCTAACAACAATAGCCCACACTCGAGAGGTCACAGGCCCTGCAGAACATATCTGGATGGAGTGCACCGAACTCAGTGGACATACCACCCCAAAGTCGGCCGCGAAGTTGTCGGCGTGGTGAAGTTAGAAGCAGCAAACACGTATTATCGATGGGGTACAGGGCTGCCAGAAGTATGCTAACGCAACATGGACACGCAGGGCTGGAGAACAAATCGACTGCGAAATGAGCAATCGCAACGTGCGAGCAACGGGGTAAATGGGCCAGCTGTGCGGGTGTCAGAAAACAGATCGAAGCTCACTTTCCGGGGGGAGGGGTACCCTCGTCACCCGGATCGCCATCTCCCTCCCGACCACCCTTGCTTTCGTCTCTGTACTCGTCGTCAACGTTGCTGTCGTAACCGGAGGATGCGTCTTCGCCTCCCTCTGAGTCGCCCCTGCCGCTCTGCTCCAGTTGCTGAATTTCGAACTGACAATGGCACATCAACGTCGGGTGCGAGACAAGAAAGCAACGAGTTACAAGCAACAATTTAGTGTTCATTGTTTCGGAGAAGTCGAAAAGTTGTGTGGCCTGTTACGATTATGCAGCCGATGCAAACATTTGGTGATCCGTGTCATATGCCGCAACACCGGCCTGCATGGCGGTCAGGTGGGTCACCGTCATAGCGTAGACGGCAGAAGATAACGGTGAAACGGCACAAAAACGATATTCGCTAGCATCTCCATGGTCGTGCAGAGGCCGACTTTCCAAGGGTCCTGACGCCGACGAAATGAATCTACAGTATCAACGAGTAACAATGCGTCGCTTGCACACAGAAATCCTTTATCTTCATTGTTGCCCCAGCTCAACATCACTCCTAACTATTCCCGTCGATGGTAGAAACCTACCTGCCTTCGGTGTTGTGTTCTCTCTCTACCAATAGAACATCGTCCGGGGGCAAAACTATATATATATATCTGCATGTGCGGCGCGAGGCTCTACATCAGGGCTTTAGCGCATGTAGGAAGTGAAATTTCGTGTCGCAAGCACCCTCTGAAGCAGTGCTTCCCAGGTGTGTTTCCGGTTAACAAAGACGGAGATGCAATCAGTCGGTCTTTTCATGCTCGTGTTGTTAGATAGTCAGGGTCCGACGTCGAGTCGACGCTATGTACGTGTGCAACTTACGTCGTCGGCGAGGCGCTCGTCACAATAATACGTGATTGTCCAAAGTCGTCTGTCAAACCATCAAGCCAACAGCATGGTAGCTTGTTCGCGACGACAGCAAGATGAACGACACATGCTCAGATCAGCCACATATCAACCAGAACCTTCGCCCTGAGATTGGTCTAGGAAACCACCTTTTGTTTTGATTCTTTGCGTGCCCCTACAAACCACTTAACATACTGCCGGGCTCCTGCGGGGTAAAACATGAACAGCACAGCGGATAAAATGACCCAGGAAAACAAAAAAAAATGTCATTGCCAATCTATCCTAGATGTCAAGAGATGGATATGTTCCGCAATACGTAAGAACACATATACGTCGCCCTGTAAACTCAACACGAATCCACTCCCACGAGCAAGCGACTTGCGCTAAATACTAGACAGGTATTTTCTTTGTCCTCCAACAACTCCGCAAGATCTTGCTGAAAAGCATCAGGCGCGACGTACCTCGAGAGTCGTGATGCGTGCTTTCTTCGCATTGATGACAAGGGCTGCTCGCTCCAGGATGCTGGAGACAGTCTGCCGGCGACCGGTTCGGATCAGAATAACACAAGTGTAGGGGGGAGAAAAAAAAAGTTGACACATGGCAAACCCCGACAAGCCGGAAGAAACACAACTAAATTGCCCCGTGCGGTATCCGCTTACGGGCGTGGTCCGAACACATATAAAACACAAGAGGACAGGAACGATATGGGGGAAACATCATTTTCAACTAAAAGAGGGTCGTCAACGAATGTTCCGTAAAGATCAGCCGGGGTCACATAAAAGCTCTTAGGATGACACACAAAATGGAAAAGAAAAGCAGGAAGAAACATGATAGATACCTTTTCCTTGTTCCTGAGGGTGGAGTCCAGCAGTTCCTGCACCCTGACCTTCTCCTCGATGGCTCTGTCGCGGTCCCTCCGCATTTCCTCCGCGTCCCTCGTCCTCTTGTGCGCTTTTCGAACGGCGCCTAGCAGCAGTGCTCGGAGTAGCGGCCCGCCCTCACCAGCCTTGCCAAGATGAGCATCAGCCAGAAAGGAATGAGCAACCGAGGTGCACGTGGGCATGACGACTTGCCAGGAAACGAGAGACCCTTTGCCTGAACGTGCTTGATGAGGCGCATGCGCATGGAACGTGGTGGGCAGATAGAATAACAACACAATCATGAAAATAAACACAGGGTGCCATTGTTATGCGACAAGGGAGTCTAGAACCCGCGCACCGTGAGAGAGAGGGTTGTCAGGACTGCGTCGCATGGATCAAGCGCAACGAGGCGGAGTCCACTTGGATAAACATCCACGAGGAATGCCGCCGCGTGCGAATGTAGTACATCCACTAGCCACGACAAACCAGTACTCGTGGTGTGTTGCTCCACTGTCCGATAAGAGAAAATTCAACAACAGCATACTTTTTCGCCAAACAGCGCGCCTGTTGGAAAACCACCAAGATGGTGCCGACATCCTTACAGTTACAGACTCCAAAGTTCGACACGCAGCGCGAGTGATGCCCTTCCTACCAGCGCAAACGTTCAAACGAGCCAGGCATTGTGGGAGTAGAGAATCATGTACATCGAAAGACGCTTGCGGTGGAGTGCCATCATGTCATTGGACATTCATACCAGGGCACCGGTAATAGCAAGCTTTGTTCGAAGAGCAGATAGCTGGTGTTTATTTTGTAACAGTCGAATTAGAATTTGGCTTCGATTTCTATCGGAAACCCAGGGTCACGGTGTTTGGACTTATTATTGTCATTCCGTGATCGAGTCCACGCAGGGGCTGTAGCAAAGTCGGGTAACGTGTGAGAGCTACAGAGCGCGTGAAGCAACGGAAGGACAGCAGCAGCGGCCTAACGCAGTAGCGGCGGGAGTTTAGAAAATCCCGCCCTCCCACCCCTTTTCTTTCGAAGGTGGGGGCATAAGTTCGGGAATATTCGGTATCTAGTCGGGTGTTGTAGAATGGTGTGTACCATTTGAGGACCTGGTCAGTTTTGGGACTCCTGCGGTTGCAGTTGTAGTCCCCCGGCTAGTATTTGTGGGGAGAGAGATGGACTTGTAACGGTTGACGCCGGCCTTCGCAGCTAACGCGGCCGGAGACGATGAGCGTTTCGTGCGTCTCTCTCCCCAACACGTAGCCTAGAAACCGAAGAAATAATGAAGCAATTCGAAAGAAAACAAAATAAACAGCAATAATGAACCTGGGTCCGTCGTAAAATTGTACCGCTCAGAGAACGATGTACGGAAGCGCACCTCATGCCCCAGGGATGGCAGCGTGACGGTCGCTAGCTTGACGGGGCCGACCTTGGAGACCTCCTTAACCGTAAGCACGGCATCTTTCTCGACTTTCTCCAACATGATCACCGCGGTAGTGCTGCTAGCGGTGGCCACAGGACCGCCGCTATTGCTGTTGCTTGGGATGCCGCTACTTCCCTGGGTAGTCGCTGAGCCGCCAGAATCAGCCGGCGAAGAAGCGGCAGCTGCTACAGATTCCAGGGCGCATAGCACCTTGAGTGAACGTTGTAGGGACGAGCGTCGACCACCCACAACAATACATCAAGTGTTCATTATTCACCCGACAGCTCGTGCAAAGAATAGCGGTCCAAAAGTGGGATGGTGGAGAGACGACAGGCTCGAAACATCGCCCGAGCGACAACACCGCGGTTGAAAGGAAACCTTGTACCAAGGTATGCTACACACCGTACAACTTCCCGAAGCATGTACAAGCGGGCCTCACAATCGTTCTTAGGCTCATACCCGACTCAACACAAGCAGGCACTACTCGTACTCGGGCTCCAGCCAATCACAGTCAAGTAAGAGCACAAGAAGATCGAATGAATGCCCGAAGTCTGAGTTGCGACGACTGAATGCGACATGCCGCTGTCCGATTTCGTCTCCGAGTGTGAGCAACGGGCGTTCTCCGGCGGTTTCCTCCACATGCTATTTCCACTACAATCGTTTCCGCTAGGATCAACGAGTGGAAGGAATATGGTGGTGACACAAGATTCCACACACCCTGACCTGATTGCCAAAAACCTCTATTACTCCACAGCCGAAAGAGTGGTGGTGCTGAGAATGGCGGCGTTGGAACAAGCTCGTCGAGAGCTTTTCGAAAACATGTCTTTTGAGTTGTGAATCCTGTTGGTCGTGGAGCACCCAAACTCTGAAATTCGGTCCAGGGTGTGTGATATCTTGCGTTACGTACGGTAATCTGTGAAGCAATACATTTCTCTTCGGTGCGTACTGGGTTTCATCCTGCAACCCCGGTGGGAAGTCGGTTCTCGGCCTCAAGGAGAAGAGTGGTACACGTTTGAGGCCAATAGTAAGAATACAACACAGATGAGCCTAGCTCCCGGTTGTAGAGCGCAGATTGTTCCTTGACTACGGACAATGAATCAAAACAACAACAAACGGCATACGGTCAGACGGCATCGAATGCCCCTGAGCGAAATCCCACGTTGACCACAAGCCCTGGTGTATTTGTTTGTCAAAGAACGAACGACAAAATCGGAAACGGTATACACGAACGCACAGGGTCATACGTCAAAGGACCAAAAAAAATACACCAAAGGAAGATATTAGCGCCTTGACAACCATGTACGCAGGGTGCCAAAATTTGTCGAGATATGCCGTCTTTCCGTCTACAACCGCTCGCGAGGAAGGTACTTCTGTGCGGGCGGGTTCGTCCGTCGGCTGGCTGCAACAGTTTATGAACTACGCCGTCGGGCAGTCCAAAGCGGCACCGACTTCGACGCAAATGTGGCCGTCTCTTAAATTACCCGTCGCCTCTTGTTTTCTGCTTTTCGGGCTTGTTGCGCCCCAACTGCGGACTGTTGTTGTTGTGTGCCTTCTGCGGAACATACAAGAAAGAAAATGAAGAGAGAGGGCTTTCCGACTTGCGGAGTCCTGACATTCATTTATTCCTCCAATAGCGGACATCATGGAGAAGCGTTATGCGCGTTGGCACACCCAAATCTGTCGCCGGGACCGTGCTGTCGAATGCTGCAGCTATGACCCGAAAAGTCCGCAAATCTGGTTCAATAGCATTCTCGATCCTCCGTACTGTATTTCGTCCCGGGACCTATTTAGACTAGCAGACTTCGACAGCACCGCCCCAGTTACAGATCTGGGCGTGCCAACGCACTTCTGGCTGCTCCATGATTTCCTTTACGTGTGCCCAGGTCCGGACTCTGCAACACACGCAGATTTTTTCGCACCCGCTGTGTCGCCTGTGTTGCCTTCGATGTAGACTAGAGGAATTCAATGTCTTGGTTTGAGAGAAGGGGTGTGGAGGCGAGTTCGGCGAACTGGGGGAACGACGCGTTCCCGGGCTCAAGTATAATCACGCAGATGATGACAGAAGCAACTTCGGCTTGGAGACCATCGCAAAGCACGACCATGAAGCCATGTAGAAGAGAAAACCGAACGTCGACTCAATGATCGCCGGATGTGGGGTCTGGGAACAGCACGCCTCCATGCCGTGTGACTGCAGCACTTGCTCAGTTGCGAAGGTAACCTCAACACAACACGAGTACACCCCTTCCACCCCCCCGCCGTAGCCGCCATTGGCTCTACCCCGTGCTTAGTCTTCACCTTAGACAAGTGGAGTTCTGCCGTTAGCTGTTTCTTGGACAAAGGCTTACGGACGCAGCTCTTCAAACCACTGCCGGCGGAGTACACCGCGTTGCCCGACACCAGCGCCAAGTGATCCAAGCTGCCGTCATCGCGCCTGAGTGCGGACGAAACGACTATATTTGAAATTGTGCACCTGTTCAGGAGCGCTCTCCCGACGCAGCGGCTTCTGTAACAACCCAGACATGGATGTGCATACTGTTATGCGAAGGTTCCGAGGAATGGGAAATCCCATAAATTAAGTGGATTGGTCGCGATTCAACGCAAGTACAAACGCAGGGCACGATGGGTGCGAGCACAACGGGTGCCGTAGGACATCGGCTTGTACTCCTCCCCGTACATATCTACCGGCGGTGTCAAGACAGGACGAGGACGGTGCCGCTTTCGCATTCCACCCCCCTCCTGCAACTTTGAAGGCGCACCGCCTGAATCACACAAGCGTCGTTCTTTCCCCTTCGAAAGATGCAGCGCGCATGGGGACTGCCAATCCCAGGCGACTTCAAACACACGGAGTGTACATGTAGCTGCGAATTCGCACGCGATGTTCCCGCTCGCAAAACCAACAATACGAGGATGCTCCACAGACGCCTTCCCAGCATGTGATGCACTCACTTGTAGCCCAACAGAAAGCAATCAGACTGACCGCCTCTCCGCTTGCCAAGATCTAGCGTGAAGTTCGGTGGTGATGCTGTGGCCGCAGCGGTCGCATCGAGCGACGATGCATTCGCCATTTCGGCGATATGTCGTCTCAACAAGTAGTCCCTAATGTATGCGAAGGTGCCCGTCGCGTACAGCGCACAAGTAGTTTCAGCACCCTGTCTCAGCTACGCAACACGAGAAGATCGCCTTGAATCGACGAGATAATTTGCGACGGCCAGCTTCTGATGCTGCTGCTGCTGCTGCTGCTGCTGCTGCTGCTGCTGCTGCTGCTGCTGCTGCTGCTGCTTCCGCTGCTTTGTCCCTCGTACGCGGAGACAGGCGGAGAAGTGAAGTTGGTTTGTGGTGAACTTGTGCTTGCTCGAGCTCCACTCGGGGGCGCGCAGTTAGTACTGAACCAAAATATATACCACAAGGCAAATGTATTGATCACACGTAGCCGCTTGGTATCCGTGGCTCCGTACCGACAATGCCACTCCGCGCGATGATGGCGACGTTACCTGGAGCTGAAGGCAATAATCCACCAGCTGGAAGGTCAGGGGGTTCGGCGGGAGATGCTAAAAGAAGAGAGAGAGCAGCGCGGAAGCTTGAACAACAGGAGACTGAGGCAGCAGCGGGAATTGATGATGTGAGTTTGTGCGGCTTTGCTGGATCCCCGCAAGCAGCAGCAGGCAGCGATAGCAGCGACATCTACATGCCGTCATCAGCAGCAGCACGACCCGGTGGTAGTAAAGCGTTCATGCGGACTCGGCGTACGATTTCTCTGAACTCGCGTAGTGGATCGGTGCACGCCTATTCTCGTGGCATCCGGCGAAATGACAGTAAAAGTTGTGGGGGGTGAGGGGTGCGGCATGACCTACCGTGTGGCATGTTTTAAATAAACGGAAAACGTTTTGAAAACGACCGATGAGCAAGCTGCGGGTGCACGCGGGATATATTAGTTGATTGAATCACGAGAAGATGTTCGACAAGAACGCCGCAGTGTTTCTTCCTCGCCACTCTGGGAGATCTGTGTGCCGGTTTTGCCGTTGGTTTGGCCAGAAAGTGCGTTGGAGGCATGTTCCCGCCGGCACGTCGTTGTTCCTGTTGCGCCCGCTGCCACAACTTGAGCAGGGTTGTTTTATGCGCTGACCCTGCGAGCATGGGGCTGCATTATCGTTGACGTATGCGTGGCTCCATCCCGACCGTTGCTGTTCCAAGAGAACTGACACCAGCGGGCCCTTCCATTCTACTGCTGTACGTGATGCAACTTTCGCAGGGCTCCTCCATCATGACGCTCAAGTACAGCTTCCAAGAGGTTAGTGCTGCCATCGACGGGATGGCTGCTTGGTTTTCCGCGTATGCAGACATGACAGGGTTCTGAGATATGTACTACTCGAAATTATGCAACGACTGGGTACAAGCAAATGTGCTGTGCTGGCCATCTACTGGTCGGGTGGAGTATAGAAGCTCTCGGTGTTGTGTTACAGCAGTAGTGGTTCCCGGTATAGTGCCGGTAGCCCGGTACCGTGAATGACACGAGATAACACACCCCCTGGACCGATTTTCAAATCTCGATTTCTCAACAACAGAAAGAGTCACAGCGCCGAACACGGTGGCGTTGAAGCTGTCTCGTCGAGAGCTTTCCGAAAATGTATTGTTTCATTTATACATCCTCTTCATCGTGGCGTAATCGAGCTTTGAAAATTGGTCCAGGGGTTGTGTTATCTTGCGTCTTTTACGGTAATACCGGTAAAATTGCTGGCACAGATGGAATATTCAAGTTGCGCCGGCTGCCCGGTATAATGCCGATAAAATCGGCTGGATCACTACTGTATCACCGTTCCATCAGGAAGAAAAACCGAGGGAGGTGGTAGATGAAGCATGGGACTGCCCGCAAGACGTTTTACCAAAAGTTGTACAAAGTTCGGGTGCAGCTAGTCTCCGAAATATGCAGTTCGTACCATGTGCTTATTGCTTTCGAATGGTCTCCGCCGGAATTCTCCTCTCAAATTGCTTCAAGCGACGCTCCGATGCGATGAGTTTTCATCATGTTCACTGGTCCACCATCCCTTTGGGACGAAGTGTAAAACGCCTATCCCAAACCTCGTCCTGCCCAACGTGCCTGATCTCTCGTCTACCTACAGCCGGTTGGCGATATCCACATCACAGAAGATTGGTCAGGGGATGGGAACGGGCTGGCAGGCCTGCAATGGCCGGGTGGTGTCGTGCTCAGGTTAGAGGCTGCTTTTACGTTGCGTCGTATGTTTCCTTTCCTTTGGAAGAAAGTCTAGGCTAGACGTACCTGGCCTGCTCGCCTAGCCCCATGCGGTGTGACGATTCAAACAATTCAACGTGTGGCTCGTGAGCCCAAGCGAGTATTGTCACTTTGTTGTCCAAAGGCACAGGCTTGGTGGGCGGTGGTGTGGTTCTGGCATGGCATCCGTGCCATTCCTCATGTCCAACGAGGCGGGAACCCACCGTTTCCACTCTGTGAACAGTATACGTATGCTGCCTGGATCCGCTTGGACACCGCTGTAGCTGCAGAAATGGCCCTGAGTTGTGGAATATTGTTGTATATAGAGAGGACAACGACGCTAACGACAACTTCGTAGACGAGGGGTCAGCCAAACCTGCGTTGTTTCCCATTCCATGCAGTAAACAGCCCGTGCTGCGCTGCACGCTTGTAACAGTCCGTGTTCTCTCTGCCCACCTCTCTCTCTCCCTCTCTCTCCCTCTCTCTCCCCCCTCTCCCTCTCCCGTGTCAACCTTCCTCGCTTGCCACACGGCCGATTCTCGCCCCGTTCTGCTGGGGGGCCATGTGTGATCGCCACGCAGTCGGTACATGGATTGCAGGCAGGCTTTTCCGGAGGACCACTTTGTGGGCCGTCGAGTGATCGAGGTTGGGGCGGGGTGTGGACTGACGAGCATCTATACCGCCCTTCGCGGAGCAGACGTAACCATCACAGACATGGACCCAGGTTAGAGTTTACAATCGCCTCCAGGATGACTCTTTCTCGTGTTGTATTTGTCGATATGCCCCGCGAGAAACGGGACCGCAAAACGGATCAGCTTGATATTTGCGGCATCTCGGCCACGTGGTTCGGCGTTTAGAAGTAACGTAAATGTCTATGGGAGCACTTTTTCAGGGCGATGAGTTGCCCTATGATTGGTCAAGCCACGACGTGGCTGCCGATGCTTCGAGCTTGCTTCTGGTACCAGTATTCAAGCACGGGCTTTCGTACATGTGGTGCCGCGTGTGAAGTGTATGTCGCTCAAGCGACTTCATCGAAGATCTTTCTCCGCTAATCTTCTTTGCGTCGGACGTTCGCGTTGAGGTTCGGTGGCCAACAGCTCCAGCGGTACATCCGGGCAGTCTTCCCTTATCCTTGCACACATGCGTCGCCGAAGGACATCTCTTCTGTTGTTGAAAGTGAGGCGCTTCCTGCAGTTGGCGATCGTCGCGGACACTTGTGATCGGCGATGCAACAATTATCCGGTGCCCGATCTTCACTACCCACGCCAACAATTTGATCAGAGATGAACGCGTGCGATCGTGGTTGGCTTGCATGCGATGACCGCCGTGTCTTTCCCCGTACCCCCGCGTCCAACACGCACACACACACACAACAGAACAAGAAATGACGCACGGAGGTCGCACGAGACGTTTGGCCGGTGCCCTGTGTCGCTCACGATGACGACCTTTACTCCATTTTTCCCCTCTACCGCTTGCACACGGCATGGCGGAACCAAAAACAGCCAAGTGCACCGACAACGTGGACATGAACCTAGACCCGCGAGGCCTGTCGGGCAAGGCCTCAGTGCGGCGCTTAGAGTGGGACTGCGCGGCCGAACTGGCGCTGTTCGAGCCCCCCTACGACATTGTCATCGCGGGGGACTGCCTTTACGAAGAGGCGTGTATCTCACCGCTCCTCAAGACCATGTGGGCGCTGTCCGGGCCCAACACAGAGGTGGGGCGTGATTTCGCTGTTTGGTGGGATGTTGTTGCTCTGTGTGTTTTGGTGTTGCAAGGGGGAGTTCATTAATATTGTTGGTGTGGCTGGAAACGGGTGGGTTACCCAGAAACCCAAAGCCCCGCTTCGTTCGGAATCAGCGGCGTAGGACCCCGCTTGTGGTTATATGGTTTGTTCTTGGTGTCTTGGTGTGTGTTCTTTTGCGGGAGTCAAGGCGAACCCAAGGACCACGTTTTTTTCCTATTCTGCATCGTGGTAGTTTCGAGCAACATCGTATCGACAAACTTTTACTCACGCTCGGACACTACCTTGCCTGGGTGCCTGCTGTTAGGTCTTGTTGAGCGGCGTGGTGGGGCATTCAGTGCTGGCGAGCTTCTTGGGTCAGGTGAGAGACGTCGGTGGTCGCCGTGTGTGGGTATGTACATGAATTTCGAAATATATTGCGCCCTTGAACAGACTCTTTGAGAGGCCAAAAAGAAACAAGAAATATATATGCATACATATTTTTTTCCGCTGTTTCCTTCGCTTGGGCACTTGAAGGCTATCAAGATAGCACCGCTGCCGTGTTGGAGTAGAAGCCCCTGAATAATATCTGTGGTCGTCTGCGGACGACTGTACTCTGTTGCTTGCGAGCGGGGTTTCATTTTTTTTTTCCGGCCTTGGAAACACGCATGGGTGTCCCTGGGTATCCGCTCCGAATCACCGTAAGACTACCCTCTGATGCCATCTATCTGTTTATTCACCTTTCATCCCCGACGTCAACGTCCTTCTGTGCGACGAATACGACAGGCACGCCAGTACTTCGAGCTAGAGACAGTGGACACGTCCAAGATTGACACGCTGGCGGAGGAGCTGCCGCTTGGCAACCAGAGCGATGCGGCGGCGGTAGAAGCAGCCCTGGCCCGAGCAAGAGCTACCGCCGAGCCCACGGGTCTCGACCCCGATGCGGCGGCGCGCTCCGTCGCCGAAAGGGGGCCGGAAGAGGAGAGGAAAGCAGGTGGGGGGGTGGGGGGTCCACAAGTGAAGGCGGCGTTGGGGGGGGAGGGGGTGGAGAGCGAGCTGGCGGCGGTGGCTCAGCTGCCGGGCCAACGAGCTCTGATGAGATTACGCAAGAAATGCGACGCCGGGGCGGGGGAATGAGTGAAGGGCAGATGGGGCATGGTGCGGTTCGTCGCGTGCCTGTCACAACTTGTTCGTACGGCACGGTGCTGCTTTTGTAGATTCGTCGGGGTCTGTTGGCGGGACGGCGTGGTGGTTGTGCACGGGTTCTCCAACCTTGATTTTGTGTCGCCCCCGGAGAACCAGGGTGGCGAGATCGTTGGTGTGGTGCACATCGCCTACGGTATTTTTCCCGTAAACCCTAAAGCAGTGGCCGCGTCACCGCTCGAGTACAAGCCTATGCCCCCCAACATGGGTTTCAAGGTTTGCAGGTAATGGACCTCCACACCCGAAGCATGGAGTACCTTTTTTTCCTTTTCTGCTCATTCTGTCCGCAGCTCTGTGAAGGCAATCGGGTGTTCTTCGAGAATGACGGAGAGTGCATGCGAATGTTGCAAAAAAAGTGAAAAAAATGAGGGGTGAGAGGGCTCGGGGCTCGCGAGGGCCCGTCGTGAAATGGCATGTAATTCGGCGTGCTTCTGTTTCTCCACACCACATCACTTCGTTGTTTTCATGACGATACGTCGCAACTTCGTCGTGCGGGACATTCAGTGTCCCGCGCCACCGTGTCAATTCTGCGCTAGCTCCATTTTTTTATCGGAACGAGTTCACGACAAAACGGTGGTGTCTATTCCAGTCGGTTTGACCTTCCTCTCTTGTAGTCCGCGCGGGCACTCGGATTTGATCCACGCACTGTACTCCCAAACCCAAGAAAAAACCGATCGGCCCATAACGGTTACGTCCCCAACCCTACCCCACGTGGCGACGACCCGCCGCAACTTGCTATCAAGACCCTCTGCACGTTGCCTTCAGAAGCGAACTACTGCTGTCGCTACAGGGTTCCAACAAAGCAACACAAATGTCGTCCTTTCGACCCCCAAAGTAAAACCCCGGGCACTTTGCCCCGAATCCATTTGCCAAGCCTACAGTCGCGAGGGAATGGAAAAACCATCACCGGATAGAAGAACCTGACTGCGATCAACATAGCATCCGCTGCCAAAATGAGACGAGGCTGAGCACGCGAGAAAACTATACCACCCCAACCTCGAACCTCTCAGCGAAACCCTCATCCGACTCGCGAGCAGCTCAGCGTGTCAGAACCGTCGTAACCCCCGCCCCCCTGCAGAAGCAGTCCAACTGAAAGCGGTAAGCATGCAGTATTTCTTCGTCCACATACGCTGTTTCGTTCACCATAAAAAATTGGCAAATAACGATTCCACCAGAATCCCGCTACTGCTGTATGTCTTCGCCACGACCGACGACTCGTTCACCTCTCTCTCTACGATTGGCACGAAGTACGAAGAGGGGTGGGGAAAACAAAAGTAAAACGAACAGTAGGAATCAATACAGCAACTACAACGGACACACAGGCAGCCCTAATCGAACAACTACTTACAATATAGTAACGAATTACGTGCTGGAGTCAGCTAGATCCCCCAACATCTCTAGCAAGTTAAGTCGAGTAGCGGGCCTTTGCGTCATGCCCAGAAGGGATGCGCTGCGTCCAAGACAGGCTGCGGGTTGTTCTCCGTCGCGATCGAGAATACGATGATGTAAATGGCAGCTGCAAAACGGCAGGGGACGACCAAAAACGAGGGACGGCAGGGGTGTGGTGAACTTCTTCAAGCAGACCGAGCAGAAAGTCCACGCACTTGCCGTGCCTGATCGATGAAATAGAGGGAAATTTGCGCTAGGCCAACGCCTCAGCAACGCGCAGGCAGAAACGTCGGTACGTGCATGCCCATGGTCCATTCTAACAAAAAACATCTCCATTTGGGTCCCGATCGACATTTGCACAATGGTTGTGTTTGGTACCTAAACGATATTCTTGGTCGCACCAAAAATAACACCTACTCTGGACGAAGTTGCAACTACAGTGTACGTTCCGAATGGGAAAATGTATGGCGGGAACCTTGTCCGCGATGGATCGAGTTGTACAGGGTGTGTGAAGCCGGAAACACATCGACCAGGACCCCGGCAACAGGAAGTATTAAACTCCTTCCCCTTGTACATTTTGAAAGCAGTTGCCATCGGTTCGAGGGCGTTGGGAAAGCAGTACGAACCACGCGCTAACATGCACGGATAGGGACAGAACAGTGGACGACAATCGCAACCGAGTGATCAACTTAGTAAGTGACATCGAAAAAATTCTAGAGGAGAGGCTGAGAACTCGAATCTTGGTGAGAATCGGTGTTTCTCTCCCACATTTCGCACGAAATAGCATGAAGGGAAGGAACCGCCGATCCGTCCTCGGAACATGAAAACGAGCACTCAAGAGTAGCTTTTCTGTGTGAACCCGGAACAGATCCGATACAGTAGAGAAGCAGCGGAAAGCAGCACTTGCGTCGGCCGAAACTGCGGGCGGAGACACCTTCGAGAAAAAAAAACATGATTCACCCAGTCATCTTCGGATTCGGGAGAAATGCTCATCTGTAAACACCACGACAAGCAAGCGCTCGCCGTGCCGTATTTCCCTTTCGCACCATCGCATCTCTTCGCGTGGTCTTATCACAACTAAACCTTTCTTTGAGGCTGGGACTTCCTATCGTTCAAAATGAAAAAATAGGTTCCAGCATGAAGGCACGATCTGGTAGATTTCAACACGACGACTGGACAAAAATTGAAAACTCTACGCGGCTCTACGCGGTCCATCCAAAGTTTACGAAATCGTCCTCATTACAAGCAAAAAAAAGGTCTCCAGGCCCATCAGCAGCCGTAACCACTGCTGTGGCGCGATCCTTGGTTTATTTCAATTCGACGACCAACAACACTTGTATGCAGTGCCAAATTAAACCTCTCCAGTTGCTTGATCGTGTATCTTTGGACGAAGCTTGGAGCTGTCTCGCAACCGTTGGATCACCACTGCCGGGCAAAACGCCACGTCCGCATTAGCGTGGGGACGTCGTCGTCACGCTGTTTGATGCAGTGCAGACTGAAACCAAAGCTTTTCAAAGGGGTTGTGGTGATCACAGCAACTGTGTGATGTTGGTTTTGGAAAGACCGCGGTATGATGTGTGCGAGGAGATGGAGAAACAGCGCAAAAATCTGACCACAGGAACTCGGAGATTAAAAAAAAAACGACGGAGACCCGACATCAATCCTCCCTAAAACTCAGCTAAGGACATTGACTGAATAGCCGGCGAGATGCACCACGTCACCAAGTCAAAACGAAGCAGACCCGACGAATCTCACCGAGGGGCATTAACTGAATTGTCAGGGTGATGCACCAGGCCAGCGGGGTGATCTCGTTTTCCTCCACCAGAGGTAATCCCGTGACAGTCTGCACGTCCTTCAGGAAGTATCTGTGCACGTCAACACGAAACAGCAGCCCCACGGCAGCGGTTAGATGACCAGATAAAAGCGCCTCTCCCTCGCGGAGGTGAGCCAAACACAAAGAGACAGCGCTCAACCGAAAAAGGCAGCGTGTGAGGCTCTCGCCCCAAGACCCAGCACGCATCTTCCGGTGGCACCTGGCGAGACACCTCGGTTCAAGTTGTCACGCACCAAAATCCCCGCAGGTGATGGGCAGAGCGAAAATTATGGAGGCTCCAGCTTGTTGTTTCTCATGTGAAGATACGAATATCACGGCCATCGGCAGGTAGATCGCGGTGGTCTGAACCCCACGAGAGACGCGGTCAACTAAATATACTGACCAACGGGTGACAGAGTCCCTCGGAATAGAGTAGAAACGTGGAGGGGAGAGAGAGGATGGAACCAGAAACTAGACACGAACATAAAAAACTCGTAGGGTCAAGTGCCGAGGAGGAGGCTAGCACGACACCGTTGGCGAGTTTACAGATAGAGATGTGAGATACTGCAGTCTTTCGGCGAGAACGTACAAGTGAGGCAAGGGTACAAAAAACGTAAACACAAACTAGCGCTTCCTCCAGGCAGCAACACGATGAGGTACATGCACGTATACAAACGAACCAACACCCTTCGGTAGGGAGGCCTATTGCATTCCCGGATAGACGACCCCAACAACAACTTGAAAATCATGGCTAGAGGCAAACCGCCCACCGCTTACAAAAACTTACCGAAGTGTTTCTCTTTCTAGCTCCGACATTGCCTCCTCGCGCGCAAGGAGCACTGCGGCCAAAATCGAGCGGCAGGACCAAGCGACGTGAAGGCCGTCAAAAGAAGGGCAACGGAAAGTATAGTATAAACTCGTCACAGCAGCCAGTAGGTAGCCTTCGCAATAAACTTAAGCTTGGTTTTAGTAGGGGGTCGGGTGGGGTTGGGGGGTAGGGTTAGGGTAACGGACACGACCCCCACCCCTCAATTCATAGATTAACTCTACACTCCTCGCGAACGCGGTCTGGGCCCTTTGGTCCATCTGTTGCGGCGGGACCTACAGCAGCAGCAGCAGCAACATGTTCCTTGGCGGCATCGGCGGCATACCCCCCATACCAAGTGCGTCCTGCGTCTTGCATGGAACAAGGAATCAACTGCCCACAGCATTTGGGGGCTGAGCATATAGCCCGCACACCGGAGCCGACGCGCCGAGCAGCGTGCACTACCTACAGTCTACATGTGTAGTACATCGGTGCATTACCAGGGGTTGTTGAACTTGACCTTCGAGCCCACGATGATTATTGCGTACCTCCGACAACGGTGCACAACAATGATGCTCGCGTTTTCCTCGCCAGAAAAACACGCCATCGCCCCAGGTCACCTATCGCCCGCCCATGCGTATGTGTATGTTGACAGCCATACTCTCACATTTATTGAGGTTCCGCCAAGATTTGGCCTTGTTCCAGAGCTCCTGCTTCTTCGCATCACCGTTGATCCATCGCTGTGCATCTCGATCGAGTTCGCGTTCAAATTTGAGGTCTCTCTCTCTGTCTTCCTCGCTGATTCGAAGCGTGGTCACCGCTGCTGCACCCCTGGAGATGTCTCTTCTATTCCTGCTGCTTCCACCGCGCCTTCTTTGGTCACCACGGGATCTCAGCATCACAAGGGCACTTCCGCTAGCCCTGCCCGCTGCCGTGGTTACATGATGCTGCACCGATGGTGATGCTAGGATGGGCTGCTGCACGGCAAAGGATGCAGCGTGCTGGATACAAAGCAAGGCATTCGCAATGCCCAGAAGCACTCCCCTGAAGCGATCCATGGCACTGCTGTAGCACACGCACTACAGTCACCGACTTGTGTCAGACTGCTGCTTGACTCTGCACGGTCAGTCCATGCCTAGCTCCACATGACACAGCACATCACGCGTGAACGGGGCTCCGTCATCTGTACACCGAAAACAGGGGGGGGGTGCCTTCCGTGTTTCAGAATTTTTCCTGTGGAGCCAAGTGGAGCTGCTGTGTTCGGCGTGTGGATGGAGAGGAAGTCCATGTGGGGGACGGGGGGGCGTGGTGACGCGGCCATAGGGCAGGGTATTAGGAAAAATAAGTGCACACACAGAAAGACTACCCATTCGAGATATACCCACAGTCGAACTGCCTAGAAGGAGGTGCAAAGAGGAATATCGAGCGAGAAATCGCAGTAATAATATTGACTGCTGTTTCTGCCCTTCCACGATGACGATGAGAACACGTGATTGCTCTCATCATCGTCTGGAGGTTCGTTTGATCGTAGTCTGGATCATATATTCGAGGCTTCACATACATTGCGAGACTCGACAATGTTCAGCCGACTGTGTACGAGAAGTTCTCAAGCGGGGGATTTCTCACGCGAAGTCCGAATCCTGTTGCTTCACCAGCAGCGTGGGGGGGGGTGAGAGGTGAACTGGCGAACGAAATAAATGAACAGGTTCTGACAACTTCAGCACGACGCGAACCGATAGAACATCTGACAAGAAATATATGATCGTTTCACCAACGTTGCAAACCGGCACAACAATCACCACGGCATTTGTCTGTACCGGCACTACTCTATGAGCCCGTGTGTGGAACTTGACAGCTCGCAATCCGTGTGTTATATCGGGTCAACCCCGGACGTATGTGACAACACTCTGTCGGTGCAACACAGGGGTCTGAACGATCGTCACTGCCGGTTCAACCCCGCAGTCTCGATTAAAGATCCACACGTGCTCATCCGACGCCAATGCTCTTTTTGCACGTCCCCACAAGTCACAACCATACTTCACCCCCCACAGCCAGTTCAGTGATCAACGCAAGCCATCGCAAGCGAATTGCTACTACAACTGCAACATGGGGTTCTTTCACTTGGGTCTTGTCCGCTCTGCCCTTGGCGGCATCGGGAAGGGCCTGACATTCCTCTTCAAAAGTCCACCTCACGAGAGCGAGAGGTAGGTGCCGTCAAGCCGGTGCTCCGGAGCTAGCACAGGAACTACGGTAGTTGTAACGTAGTTGTACACGAGTGAAGTCACGTGTAGGATCGTTGCACGTTATATGAAAAGAGATGCCGTATGCGGGCGCCTTCGTCTCGTTCATCAAGCAACGTGTATTTGATGCCTTGAGCGTTGCTAACGACCCCTTTTTCTCACCCAAACTCTACGTTGTATGCACGTGGCGCCAGATACACTAGTTTCCAAAGGTGGTCATGCCTTATGCTTGAGGAGAACTGCCCCTCCATCCTCGTCGACACAAAATCTGTCCCCCACATACCGCCAAACTCCCGGGAAGGGTGGACTATGGCGAGGTACTGCACGACGGTCGGATGTGTCTCTTTGACGATATTGCTCGTCTTCGCCGTGGCCCGGAAGATGGTCAGGAAGAGGTGGGTAACTCGAATTCAATCATTGTGTTATGTAGATGCACACATGGTAGCCCAAGGACATCGACACATATTGTACATGTCAGGACGATCCGGGCTGTTCATATCTACCCCGTGGAATTCAAACCCGTGCCGGAAACACACAAAATGTCGCAATCACAAAATCTGATGCTTGGTGATACCCGGTCCACTCACAGGCGCAGGAGGAAACGCAACGCCGTTGCCTTCAGGAACAGCATTGCGCGCGAGGAGTTTTTTACGCGTCTGGTTCATATCTCCCGCGCCCTACGAGTGCTGCTCACGAGACCTCCAGCTCGAGCTACAACTTCATCTTCCCCGCTGCTCATCTGCGCAGCGACATCGCCAGCGATCGAAAACTTGCTGATGCCGGCCTGTCTCCCGCTCCCGGAATCACTCCGGGAATGGGCCTCTGCCGACGGCCGATCGCTCCAAATCCCAGGGCTCGTCGTCCATGTGGAACGAACTACGGCACGACTCATCGTGGACTTCTATGCGTCGCCTGACAAGGCGGTGAGCATGAGGAAGCTATACGCATCGCGATCGACGGTAAGCACAAGGTGGTCACTATTCTTGACCCCAATCATTATTTCGCTTGGTTTTTCATCAAGTGATCGTTGCCCCGCCCCGACGTTCCCTTGCTGCTTATCCGGTACGTCTTTTCTATTCTCGCAAGTACTACAGTCGGTCCACACTTATGTCTAACCCCTGCAGCCCTGCAGCCTGTGGTGTCCTGCACACCTTAAGGCTGTAGTGGTTCAGGAGGCGCCTTGCAAGCGTATGGCACACCAAGCGAGCTTCAATGCCCGCCCCGCTCCCCCGTGGGCTTGATTGCGATACCTCCTGGCCCATTGATGACACGGTCCCCGACAACATACACATCTTGGTAGAACAGGGTTCGTTGCATTACTTTCCATTAGCACAGGAGCTCACGTACGTGTGGTTGGATCGGGATGTGGCTAGATACGTTTTTCGGCAAGACAACCACCTCACACACCCTGCCTCCCTCACCCCAATCTAATTCATATCCCCGGGGGTGCTGTTCCAGGCGTCAGGTATGAGGAAACGCGTGGGTGGGGGTGCTCGTTGCAACGACAATGGTGGTAGGGGCACTGGTCGAATCCTCGGGAATGGCCATTTGCAGCTGGGAGCGATTCGTCAGCATCTCGGCCGTTCATCGAGCACAGCACGGGAGCAGCAGCAGACGACATCGCCCCCAAGGGCGAGGACCGGTGGAAGCAGGCCAAACAGGCCCCACAGGCCGCACAACGGCGGCGTCGGGGCCGACCATTCACGTCGCGCACCAGGCCTGGTTTCGGAGAGCCTAGGCCATCCTACCACGATGTGCGTCGACGCTCTACATACAGAGGCGATCTCGTCTTTCCTGACCCGAAACAACACACATCATCACGTTGCATTCGTCTAGCTGATTTTTCGCGATCGCCACTGCAGCGCTTTGAATCTCAATCATCATTCGCGTACCTATCGTCTCCACGTGATGCCCTCGCTGAACACCCTGTTGACACTTGAATCTCTACGTGGCATTGCAGGCGGGTAGGTAGCCCTTCCAACACCGGGGACGTCCTAAAGGCGGTGCTGCAGATCCTCCGCCCCGTGCCGGCATTCAGGGAGGCACTTCTCGAGCTGCAGTGCGGAAACGTTCCGGGAAACAACGCGGTGTCTCTCAGGGCCATGTTCGAGGTGAGCGCCCGACAGTCCGGATTTTCGTAGGGTGCCAGAAAACGTTGTCATCAACACAACACCAAGGGTTAGTGCATGACCAAGAACGTTTCCCCCCTACCAAGGGGTCGTTCGACTCAAGACGTTCCGCGTCCTTTTCAACCCGTGATTGCTGCATGCTTGGTTTTCTCAAACTCAAATGCAAGGACATGCCCAAAATGAAACTGACACTCCGCAGGTGGGCGACCGGTCGTCTGTGGACCCCGCGGCCGTCCTCGAGAAGCTCTTCAGCGAGCTCACACGCTGCACAGCACGTTTCAATGTGAGTGTGATGGCTGGCATTTGCTCCCACTAATGGTGATGAAGCACGATGGGGGTTAACATGCAGCGGGGAACACTTTTTTGTTCGATGCTTGGCAACCAGTTAGGGTTGCTCGCAAACGAGGGTCCCTGAGTAGAGACACCGGGCAGACCGGGATGGGTCTGTGTTCTTGTATTCGCTGTGTCGTTGGCCTTCTGAGAGCGTGTCGACTGATGCACGAGTGGATTTGACCTACAATATGCTTCGGTGTTGCGGTTGACTCGGTATGTTTCGAGCATGACCAGCGGTTATGTTTGACGTTGGTTGGTCCGCGTGAGGCGCATGTGCCGCCATCGATTGTCATGGTTCTATGTACGCCAGCGACAACTACAGTAGCACGCTCTCGCACCCCCCTCTCTCCGCCACCTCCCCCTTTTTGTTGGCAGCGCACGACGTTGACCGAGCCTCTCAGGGCAACGGCGTGTAAGGTTGAGCGACTCTTCTTTTGCGAGTGCTGCGGACATGTGAGTTACAGCGTTCAATTTTACCTAAGTGCATGGTATCGATGCGACGTTGGCCAGGTGCCGGAACGTTCTGCAGGGCTAACGCAAGACGCCACACTCCGCAGAGCGATCGGTCGCCTTTTGTGGTGAATGAATGACCGACAAGCCGCGATCGAATCAGCGTTGTCATTGGGGTGTGATGGGGCTATGCCAGATCGCCTGCGATTTCACCTAGTTAACGAACGTGTGTTTTGTTCATTTTTTCAGGGCATCAGGCCAACCTACAGCAACAATATCATCAAGGTCGCGGTACCAAACCCCGTCCCCGGGCCGACCTCAGGGAGCGTTGGACGCTACGCTTTGGTCAACTTGCTTAGCAAGGTACAGTGTGTGATGCTTTACGGTGTGGCATATGTTGAATCAAGGTTTCGAGCATAAGGTCGGGGCACTGTTCAAAGTTTGGTTGTATGCTATACACCGTGAATGAAAGGGGGTCTCTTCGTCTTTGGGGCTCCTTTCACAAATGCCCCCCGTCCGGGTGCATTCCCCAAGAGCTGCCCGGGGCTTTATTCCCAAGTCATGCTCTGTACGCCCCCCTGAAAAGGTTCAACGAGGCTGTGTTATAAGGTATAGACGGTGTCGCCATCTCTCTGATCAGCCAGCGGCCGTACTTTCTTGGCGCAGGGTTGGGAGGAAGCGCGATTTGGGTGAAACACTCCTGACGGAGAACCCCACGCCTTAACCTCTGTTTCTCGCCTTGGCTTGTGATATACAAACACAGGGACTGTTTCATGGCCCCTCCGAGTACTGCGGGTGGTGCTCGCAAAACGAAACTGTGAGTTATTGTCCGCTATGGCACTTCTGAGTTGGGCCGCTGTACAATCTGATCTGGCGTGCGTAGCATTGAGGGGTGTACATTACTTGTCCCACGTGGCGCGCGAAAACAGCGACAGCTCTTGTGTATCCTCCAGGCTTTTCGCTCAGCCAGAGAGTCGATCAACTTGTTGGTGACCGGAAAACTCGACGTGTCCCGTCGTTGGTGGTACGCTAAAGGAAAATCGCTATGTTGACGATTACCCCCCCCCCCCGTCCGCGCGCATGCGATTGTACTGTGTCTTTCGGAATACGCTGTCATCAGGGGGGCCTTATGAATATTCGCTGGCAGTACCTTCGGGACGCGCCTTCCACCCTTCTGTTCTCTCTGGAACGATCTCGCGAACAAAGGTATGAGTGGGAGTGGAAGGTGGGGCCGCGGCAAGGCACGGGTGAAAGAGAGACGAGGACGTAGATCCGGGGACTATGAAGTCGCTCCTTTCCCTTCGTTGATCTCCTTGTCCCATGGTTGTTCCGCCGCAAATCCCGCAGGAACTCCCAAGATGCCGTGAAAGTGATTATCCCCACCATCCTCGGCATGAACCGCTTCACCGAAAGACGAGGTACACCCAGTCACAAAACGGTTGCAATTCTTCGCCGTACACATAGAATGCACGGATCGGTCGATTGGGAATGTATAGAGCTTTCCACGAGTCGGTCACCGCGTTTGTGGTAGTTTGCACATAAGGGAAGGAAACACTGAAGAGTTATCGCTTTTTCTTTGGAGACAAGCAACGTAGAGCCAACCTTCAGTCGGACTCCAGGTGGGGCCCTTAGCAAAAGCGACGAGAACACGTGACACGCGGATACACCGAGCGATAGCTATAAATGGTGTTTGGCTGAGAACTTACCGATGAAAAGTATGTGTGTGTGTCAATCCCAAGCAAGAGGAATAGGTGACTTCGATTCATTTTGCCAACGGACTCTTGAAAAATGACAATGGTAATGAGAGGGCAGAACAGAAAGCCGGCTAATCCCACCACTCCTCTCATCCCGTGTCCGTCTACGGTGCACAGATCCTCCTGGCGCGAATTGCTACGATCTGGTCGGTGTGATACACGGACAAAGTTCCGCTGCCTCTTCGGACTGGGTGGCCTACACCCGCTCACCGGGCGGAAGGTGGATTCGCCACAACGGCCAAGACGAGGTCGATGTAAACGAGCGGGATGTCCTGACCAACAACGCCCACATACTGCGCTACGCCAAGCGCGGCAGTGTCTAGACGTTGACGGTGTCGACGGGTGTAAACATGTCACCAAGGGGTCCGTCTGTTTTCTCGATGTATGAGTGTCATGTGGATGGATGGGTTGACGGCGTATTTGTCGCTCGCGTGGATGTGACGCAGGATGTAGGCAGGCGTGTTTACACGGGGTCCTACGACCTTGTTCCATTTGATGGGTAGTCTCGATGTGCTGCCGTTTATCTGAGATTGGTCTCATCTCCAAGACGAGCCAATGCATACGGTAGACGATGACCAGCTTGTTGGTTGCTTCATTGCGGTACGAGAATAACCGGAATGGGCGGACGTATCGAGCAGGCTGGGTTGTGCTTTACACGCAGGGTGGTCTCGTCGTTTAGCGTTTCCTACTCAACGCTTGGTTTGTGAATCAAAACTGCTGGTGATGCGGCCGGCACACGGTGCGGCAAGCACATTCGCCTGATGGCGTCCCTACTTGTCATGGAGGGTCGCTGAACGATACCATTATTTCGTTTTTCTATGTCATGCAACGACGAAAATGCAACAACACGATAGAGGCAATCAATGTAGATCCACCAATAGATCGCTCCCTCTATTCCCGCATACAATGAAACCCAAAAACAAACGTTTGCATGCACCAACAAACCCATCACGTGTCGCCTCACAGCCAACGTATGACAAAGAATGGTTGGCGAATCATTTCGAAAGCAGGGAAACACACCCCATGGTCCAACAACACTTTGCGGTGCCGTACAGATACCTGCGTGGTCTTTACACCAAGCTACACGCGGGTGCAACAGCATGGGTTTTGCACCAACCTACACTTGCTATTGTATATACCATCGCTTCCTGTACTGCATCGTCGTACAGAGCATCGCAGAGATTGTCATTCTCGGCAAACACGCCCGCCTCGTCCGATGAATGAGAGAATCGTTCTCACACTAGTATATTTTTCGAGCAATCGCCTCACGGCGCACAACGATCATATTTTCTCTTCTTGTGTTTCATCAAGACGTGAGCGGTTCCATGGCAGCAACAAGCAGCCGCACCACTTTCAACTCTATCACCACACCACCCTACATGGAACCGACCCCCGTGCGAGTGTACATGCACCACGGTCTTGTCATTCATCCGTCAAGTCCCAATTTTACTATCGGTTCCAACGGTGGGTCTGGCTCGCTTCCCGGTCTCTCTTCGGGACACAGGCCATACTTCCCCGCTCCGTCTCGACTACTAACAATGCCGGTTCTGTGCCCCGAACCCCTCTTCTTCGACCACCACCATCACCGTCATTGTCACTCTTATACTCGCTACCACTGTCGGTCCTGCTCCGGTTGAAATCGGCGCTGATACGAACGCCTAAACCACAACCCCAACCTTATGCCCCGCCTCCCTCAATTGCTTCCCCTGCTCCTAGAGCTCGACCTTGACCTTGGCTTGCTCAGCCTTCTTTTTCTCCCAGGTTACCCTCCCCTGAGTCCCTTTGCCCCTCAATCATCCAGAGGCGTCCATGGTGAAGCGAGAAGGTGTTCACGGCCTTCGACTGCTACGTGTGCAGCCTCCGCCTCCATTGTTGCCGTCTAACTCCCCTGCCAGCGGTTGAGGATTTTTCGTCAGAGGGAACCATCCCCGAATCTCTGCTGGTCGCCTGGTCGGTTGAAGGGACGGTGCCAGAGTGGCGGTGGATTCTATCCTTTGATGTCCCTTCTCACCGGCCGCTTTCGCGCGGATTTCGAGCTTCTCTTGGTGACATATGCGGCGGCAGCGGCGGCCGCAGCGTCAACTCTCCGCTCGGGGCACCGAAGCTATACACGTTGGTTTTCTTGCCACATATTATCTTGTCGCCTCGGTTCCTTTGATGCCGTTGTTGTCCTCTTTGAATTTTAGTCCGCGGTGGGCATTTGTTTACTCTCCTTTGATGATCGGTTCTCTCAAACTCGTCAAGCTCTCGAGCAAGGTCGAGGTAGTGTGCTTGCGCAATCAGACCCCGGGTCGTCGCCCGCCCAGGCAATCATCTTCTACTCCCGTCACCCCATCGAGCCGCTTGGCCACAGCAATCAATATGCTGTGTGGAGTTCTCGCCACCGCTGCGGTGTTTGCTTGGGTCTCCCCTTTCTGCGTGTCGATCTTGCTTGCAGCTAATGATTCGCGTATACCCTTTGTTGTTGTTGCTTGTCTTCCTCGTACTATCTCAACCGCAATACTGTCCTTATGGATGGTTTCAACGGAGCCCACGCAGTATTCCTACTCATATCGCGAAATTCGAAATCATCCCCCTCCTTGAACGCTGGTTGTCACCTCCATGAACCCGGACAGGGTTATTCTATTACCCTTCTCCCTCCCATTCCTCGCTCCCTTGCCCCCCCGTCCCCATTTCCAAGCTTCCGACCTCTTCACGCGGTCTTCACGCAGTTTACGTCACGCGTTCAGAGTAGTGTTCAGGTTCCTTTTCCTTCTAGTGCCCGTGGAAACGTTTCAGGACAATTTCGCTCTAATTGTTGACCTTTGCTATATTTCCTCTCACAACCTACTTCAAGAACACAAACTGCCGAAGGTGATGCTGCGGGGTGCCTGTTACTACGCCGGATTCGCAGCCACGGTCACGAGAAACCTTTTGTCCCTACCAGCTTCTCGTTGTGCAAGGCGGGACCGTGGGGGGTAGAGAGAAAATGGGGCGCGAGAGTGGGGGGAGATGTAGTCACAACGGTTGAAGCGGTTCTTCGTCGATTTGGCACAAATTATACCCATTACGATGTGAAACGTTCATAACTGTTTACCGCGCATAATGAAGCGTTTCTAAGATGTATTGTGCGATGCTTAGCAAAGCAAGACTGGGTTCGTGCCGTCTGAAACGACGCGGCGTTGCAATAAATACTGTACTACGTGTTCTTCGGATTTAAGGATTTTCGCCGTGTGCGGGTGAAAAACGTCGGTGCGACTGACATTTAGCCGGAGTCCAGAGGCAAAGAGATATCGGGCCTTGTTCCCTTGACTTGCGCCTCCTCTCGCTGCCCCTGCTGCCTCCGGTGCTGCTACCCCCTGCGGAAGAGCTGTCGTCCGCCGTGCTAGAACGCTCGCGGCTGTTGTTAACGAAAAATATCACGACCTCCATATTGGCCCCTGGGATACCAGTTAGTTCGTTTACTCTGTATGGCAATCAATATTGGGCATCAGAACAAAACAGCGGGTTCGTTTTGTGGCTCGCCAGCGGCCGATCTTTACCGCATGGTACAGGAGAAACGGGCAAATGTTGTTGTAACTGGCCCTAAGCCTCGACCGACATCCAGAGATGATATCAACGCTATGCTTCGACTACCAACGCTCTTGGATTTTCGTGTGATCGAATTATTGGTGTGCGACGTGCGTATATGGTGAACATGGCATTTCTTATGCTCAGGACGTCAAGTTGTTTCCAATAGTTCACGAATGTGCCTTCATGTCAGGTCTGGCAAAACAAAATTATATAGGTCGGGCGTTTTCTCTTCAGAGGGCGGCCAAACAAGAAAGGAAACGCCGTGAATGTTGCTGAGCCATGGCATGTGTGTCGTTGTTGATATCGGCCTGACCTCCCGCAGGTTAAGGTCTCCTAGTAGACTATCTGAAACTCTTTACAGCTGAACCTCAGGTGTTTTGCAAGGCTTGAGCTTGCCTGTCCTTGACGTTTCCGACGGTGCAGCCTGAATCAAGTCCCTCCACCTGTAGCATGCAGAACGTTGACACCTTTGGTGAGACATGGCTTTGCGTACTTACGATGCAGTTGCAAGAATGCACGCTCGTACATAAGTTTGCTTGAGAAGTTAGTATTTCGTTGGAGCGAGCAGGAGATGTGAGCGTACTGCACGCGAGCTGGTTCCGACGTTTCCCTTGCCCTGGTTATCCATCATGACTCCGCTCAAGTAAGAACATTCCAGATCGAACGTTCTCCTGCTCCACATGCGTAACATGATTGTCATGTTGTCTACCAATATGGTGGTAGTATTTAGTATTTACTACTGTTTCATGTGCTGCTGTCGACCGCAGTGTCTCCTTGCCGAATGCATACGATCGTAGTCACTCTATTTGAAACGTATTCTTCCGAGGCCATATCCCGCCGCGATGTTGCCCTTGAAAAAACGGTTTTGAACTGTTCGAACAAGCACCTTGAACAGCCGTAGGTACCAGCTTCTGGAAGGAAATCAAGTTCATCGATGTTTCAATTCCCGGCCTAGCTCCCAGGACGTTCCGATATCAGAGCAACAACCGGACGGGGCGCAGTGTAGGACACTACTGGTATGTGTTGACATTTTTTCCTTGTTTTCTGTCAACGATACTTGAAACCATGCTCTCTGTACAGCATCATCGCAACACTTTCGCTGTCCTATATGCATTATTTCTGGGCCGCACAATACTGCCAGCAATACCCTTGTTGCTTTGTGCTTGAGCCCTCTCCGCCCTAGCAACAAGGAGAACGAGAGAAAAGGGGAAGGGGGCTACGTGGCTTGACGATGCCAATACCAACGGAATACCAGACGTATTGGAACCGTCCGTTGATCCAAAGTCAATTGAACGCTCGTGCACCGTACTCGCTTCATGGTGCAGGAAAGCAGGCGGTGCGTCTCTTCACAGGGACCGTGATGTGTCGTCTACGCTGGCAGCGTAGCATATTGTCGCGGCCCCCAATATGACTTGAAACGCACTTGATACTCACCAGCACTATATCGTGATAGACCCATACCCGATCGTGAACAACACACTGCATCTTTTCCGGACACGAGCTCCTGAACTTCACTTTGGCACTTTCGCAAGGGGGAAGGAGAAAGAGAGAGAGAGACGGCGAGAAGAGAGAGAGAGCCAGAGACACTTGTCAGTACCGATTGGTGGCAACACAGGACATTCGCCTAGCTTCAGGACACGTAGCTCTCCCTGCGCGACAAAAACAGGAAGAAGGTAACCACAACGATACTCTTTTCCGTTTTGTTCTACCGGTTTCCTCCTGAGGTGGTTGCCTTCATTTGTAGAGGAGCGGTTGAAAGTCGAACTTGATT